TACCCATTATTCACAATACCTAAAATGTGAAAGCAACCCAAGTGTCCATGAACAGATAAATGGATAAGCAAAATGAGGTATCTCTATATAACGGAATATTGGAAATTCTGCAATATGCTACAACATGGATGAACCTTGAGGATGTTGTGCTAAGTAAAATAAACTAGTCACAATAAAACAAATACTGTATGACTCCATTTCTATGAGGCATTTACAGTAGTCAAAATCATAGAAACAGAAAGTAGAATGGTGGTTGCCAAGGGCAAGGGAGAGGGGAAAGTTATTGTTTAATGACTTATAGAGCTTCAGTTTGACAAGATGCCAGTTATAGAGATGAATGATGATGATAGTTGCACAACATTATAAGTGTATTTAGCACCACTTATAAATACTTTAAGGCTGTACACTTAAAAATAGTTGAGGGCTGGCCATTTGGCTCACTTGGTTAGAGTACAGTGTTGATAACACCAAGGTCAAGAGTGTGGATTTCTTTACCCTTACCTGCCAGCTGCCAAAAAACTTAAAAAATAAAAATAGTTGGCATGGTAAATTTTATGTTATGTGTATTTTACCACAATTTTTAAAAATTGAAAATAAAAATAAAAATAAAAATCCTCGGGGCCGGCCCGTGGCTCACTCGGGAGAGTGCAGTGCTGATAGCACCAAGGCCCCGGGTTCGGATCCCATATAGGGATGGCCGGTTCGCTCACTGGCTGAGCATGGTGCTGACAACACCAAGTCAAGGGTTAAGATCCCCTTACCGGTCATAAAAAAAAAAAAAAAAAATCCTAAGCTCCTTGGTAAATCTGGTATCTGTCCCTGTGAAAGAATTCTCTTCTCATCACCCTAGTGAAATCCCCCACATCTCCCCTAAACAAATAAGCAGTTGCAGTCCAAAAAGTAATCCAACATTATGACATTGGAAACTCCTACCCTAACCAGAAGCACTAAAGACCACATGGGTGGAAGTACAGAAAAGCAAAGAGGGAAGCCAAAAAGTGAATGGAAATGCCTACACACATTATACTGGAAGACCTGGCCAGGGCGATAAAATCAAAAAAAAAAAAAAAAAGGAGCAAAAAGATTAAAAAGGAAGATTAAGGGCCGGCCGGTGGCGCACTGCTACAGTGCGCTGCTTGGGAGTGCGGCGGCGCTCCCGCCGAGGGTTCGGATCCCACATACAGACCGGTTCCCGCTCACTGGCTGAGCGAGTGTGGGCGCAGCACTGAGGGTTGTGATCCCGTTGTCGGTCCCGGTCTGGTACGGGCGCGACACTGAGGGTTGCGATCCGTTGCCGGACACGAAAAAAGACAAAAAGGAAAAAAAAAAAAAGGGAAGATTAAAAAGAAACCTTGACCTTGGTGTTATAAGGCACTGAGCTAAGGGACAGTGCAGTATTGAAGTAAAGACAAACAGACCAACGGAACAAAACAGAGAGTACAGAAATAGACCACACATATATGGTCAATTGATTTTCAACTAAGGTGCCAATGCAATTCAACGGGAAAAGGAAAGTCTTTTTAATAAATGGTGCTGGAATAGGGCTGGGTGGTTAGCTCACTTGGTTAGAGTGTGGTGTTGGTAACACCCAGGTCAAGGGTTCAGATCCCCATACCAGCCAGCTGCCAAAAATATATATATAGATCCATACAGAAAAAAAGTAAACCTTTATCCCTATCTCACACCACATAAAAATTAAATCAGGATGGGTCATAGACCTAAACGTAAAAGCTAAACTTAAAAGAATTTCTTCACAAGCTTCAGGTAGGCAGAGATTTCTTAGGACACAAAAAGCAATAACCATAAGAGAAAAAAATAGTAATTTGGATTTAATCAACATTTTAAACTTCCTTGTCATCCAAAGACATCTTTAAGAAAGTGAAAAGACAAGCCACAGACTGGTAGAATATATTCACAACAAAAGACTTGCATCTAGAATATATAAAGAATTCCTATAATCAATAATAAAAAGGCAAACAACCCAGTTTAAAAATAGGCAAATGTAGGGCCGGCCTGTGGCTTACTTGGTAGAGTGTGGTGCTGATAACACCAAGGCCACAGGTTCGGATCCCTATATAGGGATGGCCGGTTAGCTCACTTGGGAGAGCGTGGTGCTAACAATACCAAGTCAAGAGTTAAGATCCCCTTACCAGTCATCTTCATAGAAAAAAGGAAAAAGAAATAAGCAAATGTTTTGAATATATACTTCATGAAGATATACAAATGGCCAATAAGCACATGAAAAGGTAGTCAGCATCATTACCATCAGGGAAATGCAAACTTAAACCACGATGAGGTACTGCTACATACATACCCACTAGAATGGTTAAAATTAAAAAGACTGAAACACCAAGTGTTGAGGAAGATGTGAAACAAATACAATCCTTATATATTGTCAATGGAAGTATAAAATGGTACAATCACTTTGGAAAACTGTTAGTTTTTAATGAAATAAACCCTATAACCTAGAATATTTTCACGAGAAGACTTGTAGAGCAATGTTCATAACAGCTTTATTCATATTACTAGCCAAAATTAGAAACAACACAAATGACTGCCAACAGGAGAACGGATAAAGTGGTATATTCATTCAACGGGACACTACTCAGCAATAAAAAGGAACAAAATTTGGTTAGAGGACAGCCTTATAACACCAAGGCCACAAGTTCATATCCCGTACCAGCCAACAATAAAAAAATAATAATAATAATTAATTAAATAAAATAAATAAAAAGGAACAAATTAGTTATATCTTAAATAATATGAATGAATCTGAAAAATATTATGTTGACAAAAAGAAGCCAGAACAAAATTGTATGATTCCATTCATATGAATGAAAATATAGGAATAAACAAGCCAAAGTGTGTTTCCTATACTCCTTGTCAGCAGCATCAACACAGAAAACTCCTGTGACCAAGTGTGTGTGGGTTTTTCTCCACACATCAAGCAAGCAATCAATTCTATAGCAGATACTAGCTGGGTGTCTTCCAATTCAATTCCAACACCATCTACTGGGAAATAGCCTTGGATCCCACAGGTTAAAGGCTCAGTCCCCTAGACTGCCCCTACTTTAGACAACAGTCTCAAGTCTGGGCCACCAAAATTCTAACCACCTGGCTTCATGTTGGGGTTTCAATCTCCTCTTTGGGCTTGATTAATTTGCTACAGCAGTTCGCAAAACTCAGGGAAACACTAACTTACATTTACCCATTTATTATAAAGGATATCATAAAGGATACAGACGAAGAGATGCATAGGGCGAGGTATGAGGTAAGTAGCACAGAGCTTCCATGCCCTCCCCAGGCAGGTCCAGGAACCTCCTCGTGTTCAGCTATCTGGAAGCTCCCCAAACCCTGTCCTTCTAGGGTTTTATGGAGGCTTCATTACATAAGCATGATCGATTATATTGCTGGCCATTGGTGAACAACTTAACCTTCAGCCTCTCTCCCTTCTCCAGAGGTTGTGGGGTGGAGCTGAAAGTCTCAACCCTCTAATCCTGTCTTGGTCTTTTCAGTGACAAGCCCCCATCTTGAAGCTACCCAAGGGCGGCCACCCATCAGTCATCTCATTAGCATTCAAAAAGACATCACTTTGGAGATATCAAGTATTTTAGGGGTTGTATAACAGGAGACTGGGATGAAGACCAAACCACATTTCATAATATCACGATTAAGTTCATGAACAAGCAAAATTAATATATAGTGATAGAAACAGAACAGCAGTCGACTCTGCAGGTGGGAGATGACTAGAAGGAAGCACAGAGGAACTTTTAGGATTATGGAATTGTTCTAGATTTGGGTAATGGTAACCTGGATATACATATTTGTTAAAACTCATCACACTGTACACTTAATATCTGTGCATTTTACTGTGTGTAAGGTATTCCCCAATAAAAGGGGTTCTGGGGGGAAGCCATATACATATTTACATAATTTTTTGTTCTTTTGGGGCTGGCCAGTTAGCTCACTTGGTTAGAGCATGGTGCTAATAACACCAAGGTCAAGGGTTCAAATGCCAGTTCTGGTAAGCTGCCAGAAAAAATAATTTTTTTTGTTCCTCAGTGAAAAGGTAGCATTGAAAATATTAATACATCTGTTTATACTGGCCAGCTGCCAAAAAAAAAAAAAAATCTGTTTGCAGTCACCAGAAATAGCAGGAGAAAGTTTGTACCCCAATTCAAACAATATAGCAACATCACAAAGAATTTTTTTACAAAGGACATCAATTTTAGAACAATCTATGGTGGATCTTTCTCAGCCTATGGGTCACAAGCCACTGGGGATAGGATATTGTGTTCTCATATGTAGATGGTCTTGTTAGTTTAATCAAAGGAGACTAAAACTGCAAAATATTATCACATGTCGGGGGAGGTCTGTGGAATTTCTGAAAGTTCCTTTGTGCTTCATTCCAATCAATCCTCCACCTGCAGAATCAATTGCTGCTGTGGTTTTTATAACAATATATTAATTTTGCTTGTTCATGAACTTCATAATGGAATCTTTTGAAGTATATTCAAAGTATATCTTTTTTATCAAGATGTATTATTCCTCAAAAATAATGGAAACCACTGAGTGTGGAAACTGAATGTCTAAATCTTTACTAGTAACCAAACCAAAAAGCAGTTAAAGAGCACATGGGCAACAAAGTATGTGATGTAAGAATACACATTTTTTCAAAAGTTTTGTAAACTATAATGCACTGGGGAAATATAAGATATTTTTTAGGGGCCGGCCCGATGGCGCACTGCTACAGTGCGCCGCTTGGGAAGCGCGGCAGCGCTCCCGCCGAGGCTTCGGATCCCACATACAGACCGGTTCCCGCTTGCTGGCTGAGCGAGGGGCGGGCGCAGCGCCGAGGGTTGCGATCCGTTGCCGGTCCTGGTCCGGTATGGGCACGACACTGAGGGTTGCAGTCCATTGCCGGACACGAAAAAAGACAAAAAAAAAAAAGATATTTTTTATCTTCAATAAACAATAAAAGTAAAAAAATATCTTTTCACCTTAAGTTTTGGATGTATGTAGCGCAGAGAATCTGCAGTTCCCATGTCAGCCTCATCAGGAATACACACAATATCTGGCTTCATTTTCATCTTGAATTCTGCACATAGAGCCTTTTGAACATCCCTGGTGGTAACCACAATGACTTCTATAGCATGAAAGGAAAAAAAGGAAAAATGCAAAAACTCATTCATTTAGGTAATGGTTTCACTATTTCAAATAGATTTGATCATTTCTAGGTGTGATAATTGCTAATATTATTGAGACTTTTCAATGTGTTTTACATGCATTCTCTCAATTAATTCTCTAAATAATTTTTTTACAAATGAGGGACCTTGGACTAAAAGACATTGAGTTAGGGCCGGCCCATGGCTCACTTGGGAGAGTGCGGTGCTGATAACACCAAGGCCACGGGTTCAGATCCCTATATAGGGATGGCCGGTTAGCCTACTTGGTAGAGCATGGTGCTGACAACACCAAGTCAAGGGTTAAGACCCTCTTACCGGTCATCTTTTTAGGAAAAAAAAGACATTGAGTGACTTTGCTCAGGATGACAGATCTAGTAAACAGTGGAACCATGGGCCGGCCCGGTGGCGCACTGGATAAGTGCGCTGCTTGGGAAGCGCAGCGGCGCTCCCGCCCGAGGGTTCGGATCCCACATACAGACCGGTTCCCGCTCACTGGCTGAGCGAGGCGCGGGAGCAACACCAAGGGTTGCAATCCCGTTGTCGGTCCCCGGTCCGGTACGGGGGCAACACTGAGGGTTGCGATCCGTTGCCGGACACGGAAAAAGACAAAAGACAAAAAACAAAACAAAACAGTGGAACCAAAATAAAACTCAGGTCTGGATGATTAATGCCCACACTTTAACTAATATGTTACAGGCCCCTTCTGGATGTAAAGAATTCAGAAGAATGTTAATCAAAACATACAAATCGGATCGCATTTTAAATCTCAACTCAATACAAAGAAAGAACTATCACCAGTTCCTACCAGGTATCCATTTGTGTTTCATGGAGGATCACAATGAACACTAACAAGAGGCAATTATCACATAACAGATGTCTTCACCTTATCCATGTAGCTACCAACCAAAAACAAAAACTTTGGGGTTTTGTCATAGATCTTTGGTGAGATAATGTAATCTACTACAATATAACATATGTTGCTGATGTCTGAAGATCTAATTTTAGCATCTCTCCAATAATTTCCACTTGTTTCATGATAGTGCCCTAGGTCACAATTATCCTTCCTTTTCACTGTAATCATTCTTCTCTATTTTCTTCCCTTCCCTTCTTTCTTCCTCTCTCTTTCAAATCATTTAACCTTCCTTCTCTCTTCTTTCTTGCTCTCCCTACACCGCTTCCTCTTAGTCATTAACTCACTTATTCATCCAACAAATATACTTAATATATTAAGGACAAATAAGTACTGAGAATTCAGAAATGAACTCAAACATGGTTCCTATTCTCAAAAAACTTAACATGGAGAAATAAGACATGGAAATGATTAGGTAAGGAAGACTTCACAGAAGTGGTCTTTGAGGTAGGCTATGATGAATTCAAGTCCAACAAAAATTTCTTTAGTACATACTATATGTAAAATGCTGATGTTATAAAGATAAAGTAGGCACAGTACCTGCTCTTAGGCAGATCGCAAAGTCTCCCATGCCACTAACTACAGTATAAAACAGTCTTTGAGAAGTGCTAAGACAGAAAAACAAAGCATGATGAAAGCATAGAGGACAGGGTAATTAATGCTGTTTGGGATTTCAAAGAGAAGGTGACATTCCCATAAACTGAAGAGGACATTTTAGGTAGAGCAGATAGAGTGAAGGAAGTAACTGCAAATATGAGACAATCAGTCTACAAGATTATTCTATGTAGAGGCAGACAAAAACTAAGCAGGGCTATGTTAATTTCTCTCTATAAAATCATGAACAATATGAAAAGAATGAGCATAAGCTTAGCTATTAAACTCCAGAATCCTGCATTTAAGAGGCACTCTTCAAATTCTGAGTGAGCCTCAGTGAGAAGGAATTTTCCATATACTGGGTATTAAATATACCACAAAAGGCCACTCCCGCGTGTGAACTAAAGATATAGCAAAAGTAAAATGCAAAAAATGTTACAGATGGGCCGGCCCGTGGCTCACTCGGAAGAGTGTGGTGCTGATAACACCAAGGCCGCGGGTTCGGATCCCACATAGGGATGGCCGGTTGGCTCACTGGGTGAGCGTGGTGCTGACAACACCAAGTCAAGGGTTAAGATCCCCTTACCGGTCATCTTTAAAAAAAGTTACAGATGACAATTCCATAAACAGTTACTAAAGGAAAGTAGGATATTTCAAAGTATATTTTTAAGGTGTGTCACAATCTCCTTCATCTGTGAGATTGAGCTCTAAAAAGAAAATCTCTTCTAAAATCTCTCTCTTAACACCAATGTCATACAGACTACTGCACAGAAATGTTTAAGGGTCTGTCTCAGGAAGGCAACTCTCATAGTGGAAAGAACAATGGATCACAAAACTGAGCCCCAGGTTCTGACATACTGATTTGTTCTATCTAATTACAGGATACCTCAAACTCAATGTGGACGAAGCTGAACTCACTATCTTTGTTCAAACCTACTCCTTGTCTCTTATTCCTTTTCCTAGTTAATGGCATCATCATCTATCTAGTCACCTAAGCAAAAAGTAGAGAGAACTCTTTCTACTAGATTTAAGGTTCTGGAAGTCAGGACCTGAGCTGTCTTTTCATTTCTGTAGCCCCATGTTTATTATGTTACCTGTCAGATAATAGACTCTCAGCAAGTACTTTGAGGTGCTTAGATTCCCAAATTGCTCTTCTGATATTCTTACAGGGTTCAGTGTGGAAACCAGCTCTATAACAACACTTAGTGTTATCAGTGTTATCATCTCAACCTTTTTCCGCACAGCAATGGAATATGCCTACATTCCTAATTTAAAGAGGCCAGTACCTAACCAACTTTGAGTCCTAGACTTCTCTCATTCATCCTCTCTCACCCTCATAATGCTGACAAATCACTGGGATCAAACACCTTAAAAGTTTTATGAGTGCATCTCATTGTCATAGCTTACCTTCAAATCCAACACGCTCAAGCAGGTTCAATGGGTACCAAATCAAAGGTTTGTTCCCAACTGGAAGCAGAGGTTTGGGAATGCTGGAAGTCAGGTCTGTCATACGAGATCCCCCACCAACTGCCATCACTACTGCTTGAAATTCCATTTTTACAAACTGCAAGCACGGAAAAAAAAAAAAAAAACACAGAAAAAAAGATATAACAAAAGTCAAAGCAAGTGGTGGGATATAAATGAAAAAAATCTGGCCCTTGCCCTTGAGTGTTCAAATCAAGTGGAGAAGACAATTCAGTAAATTACAATATACTATCACTAGTGCCATGGCAGGGATATATCCAAGATGCAGTGGGCATATAGTGAAGGAAACGCTTAAGTATTGGGCCGGCCCGGTGGCGCACTGGATAGTGCGCCGTTTGGGAAGCGCGGCGGCGCTCCCGTCCGAGGGTTCGGATCCCACGTGTAGACCGGTTCCCGCTCACTGGCTGAGCAAGGCGCGGGAGCAACACCGAGGCTTGCGATCCCGTTGCCGGTCCCAATTACAATATACTATCACTAGTGCCATGGCAGGGATATATCCAAGATGCAGTGGGCATATAGTGAAGGAAACGCTTAAGTATTCATAGAGGACACAGGGAAGGTTTTACAGGAAGGTAATGCGTGAGCTGACTCTGAGGAAGTGTTTATCAAGTGGGCTTCTGACATGTGAGTTCTTATACTATGAAAACATTTAAAAACTTCTGACTAGAATTACAGCAAAAACACAAGCATGTTAGGCCTCTGAAAAGTATGAAATGACCTAAGATTCCCCCAATAATTTAGCCATCTGCTCCAGTCTTCTCATTACCCCCAATTATAAAAGATATCTTTATAAATACAAATGTAGGGTTATATCTGAAAGTAGGTTTACAGAACCCAATTACAGAAACAAACCTAACTGTTCATTCCTTTTTATTTTTTTTAGCAGCTGGCCAGTACAGAGTGTTAATACCTTTTTTCAAACTCAAGGTAAATGAATCTATTTGACCTTGAAAAGAATCTCCTTAGAGCAGCTACCATAGAACAGTGGCAAAGTAAAAGGGCCTAAATCCTTACTGATTTAAACTGAAGGTATTCTCTGACTTTCAACAACGTAATCTTTTTAATAAAAGTGTAAAATGCAATGTTCAGAAAAAAGATCTATTTAACACCAAATTGGGAAATAATGTCGTACCTTTGCCAAAATTATAATCAGTTCTGGGCCCCAAAGATCAATATCTACACTACAGCACTTAACACCCAGTATGTACAACATTCACAACTTAAAGATATGATCATCTTGGGTAGGCCCGGTGGTGCACTGCTACAGTGCGCCACTTGGGAGTGCGACGGCGCTCCCGCCGAGGGTTCGGATCCCACATACAGACCGGCCGCTCACTGGCTGAGCGAGGTGCAGGCGCAACACCGAGGGTTGCGATCCCGTTGCCGGTCCGGTCCGGTACGGTCGCGACACTGAGGGTTGCGATCCGTTGCCGGTCACGAAAAAAGACAAAAAGGAAAAAAAAAAAAAAGATATGATCATCTTGGGTAGGCCCGCTGCTGCACTGCTCCAGTGCGCCACTTGGGAGTGCGACGGCGCTCCCGCCCAGGGGTCGGATCGCAAATACAGACCTAAATCCCGCCGGCGGGGCGGGGCACAAAAAACCCAAAAA